ATAAGAGAGCAAAAACTTTAATCGACTGGTCATTTTTGACAATTTTTGCTGAATATTTGTACCTATTTGATCGCCTTTCTCTGAGTTGATTTTAGAGATGAATGCCCGTAGTGGGCCCAATCAAATCCTTGACCACAAATCTCTCCACAAGACTGGCCTCTATATGTTGGCCCCATGAAGGCCCCATGTTGGCCCCCTCTATATGTTGGCCCCCATCTGGCCCCATCAAAAAATGATAGCCGATCGAAAGGCTAGTCTTTGGATCGGAGATCTTTTCTTTAATTGCATTTGGCGGCGCATCAGAATCACCTGTGTTGAACGAGAGAAACGAGCGATTTGCAGTTATTTCCTCAAAGACTTCCAAGAATGTTCACTTGTCCATTTGACAACTTATCGATTGATGGCTTATTTTCCGAGTCCCAAGTATCGACAATTTCTCGCCTATGCCTACAGGATCTCATTCGCCGTCTCGACTTTATTCTTCATTTGGGCTCTCTATATGTTGCTCTATCGAGAGTCGGATGCCGGCAAAACCTACAAAACCCTGATTATCGTCCATTTGTAGTTTGAGATTTGCGAAATTCCTACAAGAGTAGTGGAATTAACAGAGAAAAAGATAAAATTAGGCTTGAGATCGAATCAGGCTCGATTGCAATTCGATTTGAATGTAGAAGAGGAGATCTAAATGGAGTAAGTGGAAAATCGTTGTGATGAAGATCAGAGACATTTGGAATTACGATATTTAGAAGTATAAAAATGGGCAAATTCTTTGCCTCTCCTAAAGGGCACAAGCAAGTAAAGATTTCTGCCAATCAAAATTTCCGAACCTCCAGATTGACGTCTCAGATCTGAGCGATTTCTTCGTGTCCCTCTTTCTTCGCCCTACATTGCCAAGCCATCCGTCGTGCTCATCGAAACGCATTCGCTCCAAGAAATCGGATTTTTTACTTGATCCTCGTCACTGATTACCGTATCTGTCATACTGTCATGCTGTACTTTCACTTTTCGAGATCAGCATATTCATTGAGCCCAAATCTAATCAAGCAAACAAGGCAAACCAAATTGAATTCTAGAGATCATTATGAGTTCCTTAGAAACGGTAAATATTGGTACTTGGTAATCCTTTCAAAACTTAAAGGTCTGAAGGAAATCCTTAATTCCTTAAATCCATCAGAGCTCAAGCTCCTTTTTGGTTTTCCTGGTTATATTGGGAAACTAGGCGATGAATCAAAATCTAGGAGCGAAAATTCGCCTCTTTCAGATAGCCTACTTCATCGGTAGACTGAATATCGTAATCCAGCTAACCTTAACTGAATACTTTGATCTAGACTGAATATCCTAATCTCTGCTGATCTGCGGTGTGACTTTCGTCATCTATCTCGTCATCGACTGACATCGACTGACTTATTTCGACGCCAAGTTTGCGCAAATCATTTCTTCTCATTCCCTTGTCTTCGTTTTTTTGACAGCTGTCGTAATGGTGCTGTTACGCGATTGGTACGTGCCAAATGTCTGCACTTCAAATCAGATACTGGTCGGTTGAAGAAGACCGTGCAAGTGATCTCGTCGTTTAATAGTCTTCAAATCTGAATTAGATAATATAGTGCGGTGCAAAACCATACGCCACCCCCTAAATTTCAATTTTCTGCGGCTCCCGTGCCAGTGACAAAAAAACTGAAAACGTAGTTAGATTCAGGACCAAAAATAACCCTTAAACCCCAAAAATCGTCGACATAGCATGAATAGGGAAAATGTAACAGCCAGAAAACGAAAATTCACCCGGTGCAAAACCATACGCCACCCCCTAAATTTTGGTGTCATTTCATACTTTTTTCTAGTTTAAAAGCTAAACCTGCCTCTGACAAACATAAGTCCCGCCCTTTCACTTCAACTTCCTTATAAGGAGTCCTAAAAAGCTTACTTTGTCATGCTTCAACTTCAAAAAAAAAACAATGCCGAAAGCATCTCAACTCTCTGACAGGGAGCAAGCTCAACTCGACCTCATCAGCAACTTGGATTGTCAATTTCCGAGATGAGTCGTCGAACCAATCGCTCAAGAGACTGTATCAAAGGTTACCTCAAAGCTCCACTCAAATATGGTACTTCAAATGCGCATGGTCATCACAAGAAGCTCTCCAAACGAGCCGAACGCCATATCAGAAACAAAGCCTCAAACTCTACGAGATCGGCAAATGAAATCAAGCGTGATTTGCAACTTCCAGTGTCAAAGTGGACTGTTCTGAGAACCATCAACTCTTCTCCACATCTCACACGTCAGGTGATGAAGCCAGCACCTCACTTAACTGCCATCCACAAACAGAACAGGTTGCTCTTTGCTCGTGCAAACATGGCAACTAACTGGAATCAGGTATTTAAACTTAGAAAACAAAGTTTATTGGTTTCAGATCATCTACACAGACGAGAAAAAGCTCAACCTGGATGGACCTGATGTTGGATACTCTTATTGGCGTGACTTGCGCAAAAATCCATAACGGTTCTCAAAGCGAAACTTCGGCGGGGGTTCGGTGCTGTGTTAGGACGCCTCGTCTTTGGCAAATCCAAGATGAACTCACAAGATTACATCGATGTGCTCGAGGCCAACCTTCTTCTATATTTGCAAAGTCTTCCACAACACCAACTCACCCTACAGCAAGACAACGCCAGCATCCACGCCAGCCAAGCAACCAAGTCATGGCTTCAGTCAAAAGAAGTGCCTCTTCTGGATTGGCTTGTGTGCTCCCCCGATCTCAACCCCATTAAGAATCTGTGGAGAATGCTTGCTCGTCGAGTTTATGGCAATTCCACACAGTACGCAAATGTTCAAGCGCTCAAAGATGCCATTACCCGCGAGTGGAATACCATTCCAAGAAGCACCATCAAGAAGCTAGTTAACAGCATGCTGAGTCGAATATTTGACGTGATCAGTCGTCAGGGACAGACAACAAAATATTAAACTGTTATTGTTATAAATAGACCTTGTTATCATAAAAATTGAACAAAAATGCAACAACGACACCAAAATTTAGGGGGTGGCGTATGGTTTTGCACCGGGTGAATTTTCGTTTTTTGGCTGTTACATTTTCCCTATTCATGCTATGTCGACGATTTTTGGGTTTTAAGGGTTATTTTTGGTCCTGAACCTAATTACGTTTTCTGTTTTTTTGTCACTGGCACGGGAGCCGCAGAAAATTGAAATTTAGGGGGTGGTGTATGGTTTTGCACCGCACTGTATAAGTCGAACACAACACCGACTGAATGGAATGGAAATGGAATGGCTCGACCTTTTCTCTCTTTAGCACTCTCTTTTCAAGTTGCTCTTCAGATGAGCGATTTCAGACTCAGCATTTCCTACGAAGCCGATCTACCCTGAATGTACTATTGCGATCTCAGCAAGGCCATCTTCACTGATGGAATCTTGGTCATCTCAGCCATTGTTCTCGTGGTGCTCGGCATTTTTTTTCCTATTTGCGGCCACTGTCTATCGGACACTTTATCCAATCGCGAATCTTAGCCAGAAAACAAGGGAAATGCAACAATATTTCACGTTCATGCTCATGCAACAATACTTCACGCTCATGCTCTTCAACAATATTTCACGCTCATGCTCATGCAACAATATTAACAATACAGGTTTGGAATTTTTAGAGAGATAAAGAGATTCATTAACATTTAAGAAAATAATCAATGCATTGTTTTCCTTTTAGATGGATCTGATTGTTGGCACGCCCGGGTTGCTCAATGGCTTTATCATCATTGATTTGGTGGACGGCTATTTTACCGAAAAGGATTAGTTTTAGAAAGTGCGATACCCAAATCTGGTCGTTTGTTGAACATCTTCATACTTTTCTAAGTTCTATTGAACTTTTTTTTTTCAGAATAAAGAGTATTTCTGAAAAAGGTTGATCGCGAATTGAACCGATTGATCTTTTCAAAGCGATTGAATCTTATCCAATCCGCTAGATGAACTTTTATCTCGCTCTCCTGTAATAAATAGACCGAAATTTCACCATCTCAGCATGACATCAGCTATGAGAAAAATGCAAATATGCCATAAACATACCGTAAATGCTGTTAATTGGACCCCATCCCTCTAATAGTACCTCATCCTAAAGGGAAAGGGAAAAATAATACCTCACTCTAATAATAATCACTTCTAATAGGTAGTCTGATCGGAAATTTTGATTGGCAGAAACCTTGTGTCCTTTAGGAGAGGCAAAGAGTTTGCCCATTTTTATACTTCTAAATATCGTAATTCCAAATGTCTCTGATCTTCATCATAACGATTTTCCACTTACTCCATTTAGATCTCCTCTTCTACATTCAGATCGAATTGCAATCGAGCCTGATTTGATCTCAGGCCTAATTTTATCTTTTTCTCTGTTAATTCCACTACTCTTGTAGGAATTTCGCAAATCTCAAACTACCAATTGGACGATAATCAGGGTTTTTTAGGTTTTGCCGGCATTTTATTGTATCATTTCATAAGTGTTTATAGCCAAAAGTTAACCAATCTTCCACAAAATTTAAACCTTTTAGAGAGAATTCTAAAAAGGACAAAAATTTCGCCGAACCCTGTAATACAATGCCTTAAACTGGCAACTGATTGAGTCGTGATTGAATCGTGATTGAACCGTGATTGAATTGAATTCTCTTTTTGCATGTTTTCTTAAAGTTCTGTTAGGTGTGGTCATGTTGGTGATAAGGAAACGAAAGTAGGAAAAGAAAGAAAGAAACAGGGAGCGGTGTGGGAACGGTTGATTTCAGAATGCTGATTGTACTTGCATCGAGCAAAAAAGGCCCTTCGATGAAATCGGTAATTCTGATGAAAGAAATATTATATAAAAGCTTTCTTCAGCAGTCATTCACTGTGTCGTTTTCTTCAATTTTTGCAGTTTTTCTATCGAAAACCTATCGAATTTTGCTCATTTTCCAAAGCGACGCGCTAATTTCTTGTTTCTCATTTGATTCTTGCAGGAAAGTCGACAATTTTCAGCTACGAAATGCTCAGAGTCGCGATTGTTTTCCTCTCGATCTCGCTTCTTTTCGAACGCTCATTTGGAGCCCCACAAGTGGGTATCGCTATCGGACAAGGCTATCGGACATTTGATACGCGCCCCGTCCCTTTCCCATTAGCAATCCAACTTTAAGTCCAAATATCTTGGTCTTGGGCTTTGCTATTTAAATATCTTTGATATCATTAGATGCGCCAAGTCTTTCTCTGTTGATTGGTACAAAAACTATTTAAATTGCACAGCTCAACACCAAGATATTTGAGCTCAAAGTTGGATTGCCAATGGTAAAGGGACGCGTAGCAAATGTCCCATAATCAGTAAAAAAGATTGAAATTTTTGAATTTAAACCAAATGAGTGGACAAAGAAACGATTTAGCCGGGGACTTGCACTAAAGACGACGAATGTCCATCCGGATCCGACTGTTTCATCGATCCAGAGAAATGTCCGAATGTGGGTGAAGGCTGCGGCGGCATTTGTCGATCCAAGGTCGGTGAGAAGATCGGTTCACAGTAACTACTAACTTTTTTACTAACTACGCAAATGAATATTGACATATTCAACTGGGAAAGTGACTAGCTAATGTCGGATTTCACTTTTCACTTTTAGAATTGCGTCTCGGCAAACGATTGCCCATCAGGCGAGATGTGCGTCATCGAAAAGTGCGGATGGAGCGGCTTCTGCGCCTACCATTGCGAACCTTTTCAGTTGAAAAAGACTCAATAACAATGAAGGGCATTTGAATTGAGTGAATAAATCTCGTTGTACAGCTATTGTACTTAAAATAAATTTCTATTCGATTCGTTATTTACTTGAAATACGGTTTTAAATCGAGCCGAATTGAAACTTTACCTTATCCAGGGCACGAAACTGATTTTCTTCACCACTTCTTCACCAAATAACAAAAAGAAAATGCATATCACTTAACATAGGTCAAAGCTTTAAAAAAACTGAGAAAAAGGAACGACTCGAGCCAAGTTGCAACCAATTGTAAAAGTAACCAGTTGTAAAAGTAACCAATTGCAAAAGTAACCAGTTGTAAAAGTAACCAATTGTAAAAGTAACCAGTTGTAAAAGTAATTAGTTGTAAAAGTAGCCAATTGTAAAAGTAACCTGTTGTAAAAGTAACTTGTTCGTATTTACTACATGTTGGTTATTGGCTATCTCTTCTTTACGGATTTAAGAAACCTTTCCTAAGGCTTAAGCCTAGGAAAGGCCTATCTTTGCTTTTGCAGCCGATTAGGAGAAATTTTTATGAAATTTTGAAGTTTTTTCGCCAAACACTGTTTGGCGTTTGTACTTTTTGTACTTTTTGAAAAAATTTGAAGCTGCAACATCTAGTTAAATAGATGCAGCAAAAATAAATTATTAACAAATCATAAGCAATAATACTTTTTGAAAAAATCGAAAGTGAAAAAGGAAGCGATCAAATAAAGATCAAATCAAGAAATTTGCATGAACCGATTCGCTCAACATCTGTGACAGTTGAGGGTAGTGAACATTTTCAGAAGTGAATTCAAAGTGAATTCAAAGTGAATGACTTTGGCTTCTTCAAATGGCTTCTTCGAAAACACCAAATAATCGTTTTTTTTTCCGCTTTCTTCGGATACACAGTTGATCCTTTTTTGTCAATCACGAATTTTCGCTTTCCCTCGTCACCGAACCCAGATTTTATACAATGCTGAAAACAGCAGATGACCCGGAATTCAGTGAAAGTTTATCTATAGTGTTCAGCTGGTCCAGTAGGTCAACCTGGTCAGGAAGAGCCCGAACAAAAACAAGAGGACCAAGAAGAACTTTTCGGATTCTGGTGATATAGAGTTTCTAGCGAAAAGATGAATAGGAATATAAAGAAACGGCGGTATTAGGAAAAACTAGAGATTTAGAGAAAAAGTCGTAGGCTATCTTTTTTGTCTGATCATGGGCCGGTGCCCTATTCCTCAAATTAAGCTTCGATTTGTCTAATGAGTTCCCCTGAATTCCCATCTAATGAATTCCACATCTCGGTATTAGCGAACCGTGAAAAACTTTAAGCAATCAGGGTCGAAGCTCAAAATGTGTCACTGAATGAGTTCAGCAAGTTCAATTGAACTGAAGAGATCAGCTCAGGAAAAGCCAGATCCATCTGGAGTGCTTCAATCAAACCGTAGGATTCAAAGCGGGACAGAGAGATGCCTCTAAATAGCTAGGTTATATAATGAGCATCTCAAGCTAAGCCAAGCCAAAAGTCAAGCTAAGACTGTATCCGGGACTAACTAACGAAAACGGTTTTGATTCTAATTCTTTTGAATTAGACCTAAAAAAAGGCCAGTTTTGAACTAAATTTAACTTTTGACCTTCTGCAGCAGTCAAAAAGCTACCTGATCCCTGCCTAACTAGTTTTGGAAAGATTTATAAAAGAGAATGAAGAATTCGATTGGAAATATTCATTTTTATTGAGTCCGCAACGCCTTCTATTCCTGTTATGGATCCTTGGCTGTCGATGTCTACAAAGTGCCAGCTTTTTTTGGCTTGAGCCTATAAACCTATAGCAATCTTGTGAAATCCCAACCCATTTCCGCTCGCTCACCCGAGGAGCTTTGCAAGTGTTTGAGCGGAAACGATGGCCGGCAGATCATCAACTTTTGTTTTCAATGGTCGGCAACAATTACACATGAATTGCCATTCATTGTGATAAATATTTTATATTGTTATTAGTTACAGTGTTGGAAAAATTAGATTGCTATGTGAGAGAGAAGAAAAATCACTGCGATGGCAAAGAGGTCGACGATAAATCGATTCTCATTGAGAATTTGAGAATCACAAAACCGATTCTTATTGAGAAGCTCTTAAACAAAGGACTACTAGAGTCGAATTTAACAAAAAATGATAAATTTGTTGAGTCTAAAAGTGAGTATCACATGAAATAGTCAGTTCCTCTGAGCTTTTTGATTCTTTTCCTGAAGCGTCGTTCTTAGAAACTCACAAATTATAATATAAGTAATCAAAAGTTTCTATGGATTTACCTTTTTGCTTGGTATTAATTGGTTTATTTCTTAAAAATATCTCCATGGACGGCTGCACAAGCGGGGAGACGTTTTGGGAAGCTGTTGATGGTGGCCAAAAGATACCGCGCATCGAGTTCAGCTAAAAGATACCGCTCATCAAGTTCGGCTAAAAGATACCGCGCATCGAGTTCAGCCCAAGCTTTCTGGGATGATTTTTTCAGTGAATCAATGCTTGAATGTGCTTTTGAGCAAGCCTTTGCTTTGAGAACACTCCAGACTGAGTAATCCATTGGATTTAAATCAGGGCTTGATGAGGGCCACTGCTTAAAGTTGATAAAATCCGGCAAGTTTCGTTCACATTAATTCGACAATTCGGGCTTTGTGGGCAGGCGCCTCATCCTGCTGGAAGCAACAATTTTGTTTTCGAAGTGATTTTGTGCTCAAGACAGCACCACCTGCTTCAAAATATCCAGATAATTATTTGCGTCTACTTTGGCATCCTGTTGAACAAAAATTAGTGGAAGTCTTCCCATTAGAAGTGATTCCGACGAAGATCATGGCCAAAATCATGAATTTGGTATATCCAGCACGTCGAACCACTTGATTTGGTGAAAAACCATTCGAAGATCTTATCAATCCGATACACTTTTACAATTGGCTACTTTTACAACTAATTACTTTTACAACAGGTTACTTTTACAACTGGTTACTTTCACAATTGGTTGTAACTTGGCTCGAGTCGTTCCTTTTTCTCAGTCTTTTTAAAAAGCTTTGACCTATGTTAAGTGATATGCATTTTCTTTTTGTTATTTGGTGAAGAAGTGGTGAAGAAAATCAGTTCCGTGCCCTGGATAAGGTAAAGTTTCAATTCGGCTCGAATACAATAGCTGTACAACGAGATTTATTCACTCAATTCAAATGCCGTTCATTGTTATTGAGTCTTTTTCAACTGAAAAGGTTCGCAATGGTAGGCGCAGAAGCCGCTCCATCCGCACTTTTCGATGACGCACATCTCGCCTGATGGGCAATCGTTTGCCGAGACGCAATTCTAAAAGTGAAAAGTGAAATCCGACATTAGCTAGTCACTTTCCCAGTTGAATATGTCAATATTCATTTGCGTAGTTAGTAAAAAAGTTAGTAGTTACTGTGAACCGATCTTCTCACCGACCTTGGATCGACAAATGCCGCCGCAGCCTTCACCCACATTCGGACATTTCTCTGGATCGATGAAACAGTCGGATCCGGATGGACATTCGTCGTCTTTAGTGCAAGTCCCCGGCTAAATCGTTTCTTTGTCCACTCATTTGGTTTAAATTCAAATATTTCAATCTTTTTTACCGATTATGGGACATTTGGTACGCGTCCCTTTACCATTGGCAATCCAACTTTGAGCTCAAATATCTTGGTGTTGAGCTGTGCAATTTAAATAGTTTTTGTACCAATCAACAGAGAAAGACTTGGCGCATCTAATGATATCAAAGATATTTAAATTTCAAAGCCCAAGACCAAGATATTTGGACTTAAAGTTGGATTGCTAATGGGAAAGGGGATGGGGCGCGCATCAAATGTCCGATAGCCTTGTCCGATAGCGATACCCACTTGTGGGGCTCCAAATGAGCGTTCGAAAAGAAGCGAGATCGAGAGGAAAAAAATCGCGACTTTGAGCATTTCGTAGCTGAAAATTGTCGACTTTCCTGCAAGAATCAAATGAGAAACAAGAAATTAGCGCGTCGCTTTGGAAAATGAGCAAAATTCGATAGGTTTTCGATAGAAAAACTGCAAAAATTGAAGAAAACGACACAGTGAATGACTGCTGAAGAAAGCTTTTATATAATATTTCTTTCATCAGAATTACCGATTTCATCGAAGGGCCTTTTTTGCTCGATGCAAGTACAATCAGCATTCTGAAATCAACCGTTCCCACACCGCTCCCTGTTTCTTTCTTTCTTTTCCTACTTTCGTTTCCTTATCACCAACATGACCACACCTAACAGAACTGTTAGAAAACATGCAAAAAGAGAATTCAATTCAATCACGGTTCAATCACGATTCAATCACGACTCAATCAGTTGCCAGTTTAAGGCAGTGGGTATAGATGTTACAACATAAGGTTTCCGTCATCGGCCACAAAACAGCTCCCAATCTCACAAAAGCTTCCCGTTTGCCGCCCCATCACAAGCGCAGTTGGTTCAGTGGTAGAATGCTCGCCTGCCACGCGGGCGACCCGGGTTCGATTCCCGGACTGCGCAAAGTTCTTTGCTTTTTATTTAAAAACTAAGAACAGTTTTTGGAGTTGGTTCTGCAATCCTTCTCAAACAATCGCAACTCATCAAATCAGATATAGCACTGATTCTATTGCTGATTCTCACAACAATTCCAATCTAAGCAACTTCTTTTGCTTTTTCTATTCGTTCAGCTCCTCAAAGCTATGATCTAGACCAAAAATTTGTTGTTGATTTTCATCTTAAAGCTTAGAGAGATTTAGACGAAAGCTGGCTTAGCTTCAGCAAAAAATCAAGCCCATTATTAAGCGGAAATTGTCTACAAAAAGGAGGCAACGAGGGATTTTCTTTTTTTTTTTTAAATGAAATTTTTTCAATAAAGTCTAGGATTTGGGTCCATTCAATTTTTGGATTCAAGATAAATTTACCCTTTTATTAATTGAGTCAAAAGGGCAAATGGGGGAAAAAAAGTGGGGAAAGGACGCAACAATCTATGGGGGATAATCCTTTGTTTGAAGGTTTTCTGGAGGATGTTTGTTTCCGAGAATAGCAAAACGCACAAAAAGGATCGGATTTTTTGAAGAAATTTGTGAAAAGTTCAAATCTCGAAATCTCAAAACGCAATTTTTGTGAATTGTTGTGTTTGTCGACGAGTTTTGGCAAAGGGTTTCACTTTCTGGGAGGAAGAATCCCGAGAGTTCAAGTGGTTGTATGATTTTCTGCAACATCTAAAAGAAAAGGGTAGAGGTTGATAAATGAGCCCAAAAAAGCTGGCACTTTGTAGGCTCAGGAGTCCGCAACACCTTCTATTCCTGCTATGAGTCATCGACAGCCAATGACTCATAGCAGGAATAGAAGGTGTTGCGGACTCAATAAAATGAATATTCTTCATCCTCTTTTCTAAATCTTTCCAAAACTAGTTAGGCAGGGATCAGGTAGCTTTTTGACTGCTGCAGAAGGTCAAAAGTTAAATTTAGTTCAAAACTGGCCTTTTTTTAGGCCTAGTTCAAAAGAATTAGAATCAAAACCGTTTTCGTTAGTTAGCCCAAGATCAGGATACAGTCTTAGCTTGACTTTTGGCTTGGCTTAGCTTGAGATGCTCATTATATAGCCTAGCCAGCTCATTATATAGCTTAGAGGCATCTCTCTGTCCCGCTTTGAATGCTACGGTTTGATTGAAGCACTCCAGATAGATCTGGCTTTTCCTGAGCTGATCTTTGATTTGGCTTTCCTTTCTTTTGTTTTAAATTATCCAAGGTTTAAGAAAGCTTTGGTTTAAGAAAAGAATAGACTAGTGAAGTAGAGTACTCAAAATTGATCAGTTTCTCTCAACTAAAGCTCAACTAAAGCTGAACTAAAGCTGAACTAAATCTCAACTAAATCTCAACTAAAGCTCAACTAAGGCTTCTCAAAGGTGTTCTTCTTCTAAAAGTTCTTCTTCTTCTTCTAAAAGTTCTTCTTCTTCTTCTAAAAGTTCTTCTAAAAGCTACCGTAACTCCCAATTAATTCAATCTTTTGCATTTAAACTTTGGTATAACGATTACGGAAACGGAAGTTCCTTTGTTGTTTTTTTGGGTAAATGAGAGAAGATCTTTTTCTCAAATCGCAAAATTTCAACGAAATTTTTTGTGTTCTCAAAAAGCGTTTTGTCATCGGTTTTCTTTTAAAAGAAATGGATATATTCCTTAAAACATAAAATGTTTTTCAAAATCTTATTTTATTTGATATTTTTTTGATTCTATTTTGAAACATTTTCTCTAGTTTCCTGGTACATTTATTTTACGAAATTTTGATGAATAAATGAAAAATTTCAACGAAATTTCGAAATTTTTTGTTGTTTTCAAAAAAACGAATGTTTACGAGGTGAACTTTTGGTGCGATCGACTTTGATTTCCGTTTAAAATCGACTCTTTTGAACGTATGATGTACTTCAAGAGGCTGCGGAGAGTACTGAAAAGATAGCTTTTGTATTTTTGAGAAGCTTTAGTTCAGCTTTAGTTCAGCTTTAGTTCAGCTTTAGTTCAGCTTTAGTTCAGCTTTAGTTCAGCTTTAGTTGAGAGAAACTGATCAATTTGGAGTACTAGCGATAGCTCGAATAGCTCGAATCGATTCGCCGAGCCTGAAAACTCGTGAACAAATTTAATATCTTCTTTTTGGTGCCTACAAAGCAAAAGAAAAATCCCTGTGTGAAGTGTTGTGTGAATGTGAAGGATGTGAAGGATAGCGAAGTGTTCTTTCAATCAATCGCTCTTCAGCAGGAGCGGCTGAATCCGTTTCACGATTCTCCGCGTCATTATGCAATTCTTGGGAAAGATCCCTTTGCCCAAATTTTCTCTGTATGTTACTAAAAGTGAGTGAAGATCGGCCAGGAAAAACTGTGAATGATGTGCGGGGGAAATTGAGTGAGTTGTGGAGCCGAAAATTGGATTCCAAATCGGAATCAACGAGCAAAAGGAAAATACGCATTTCATTGACAAGCGGCTAATAAACTTACAATGAAAAGCTCGATTTGTGCACTCTTTTGTGGTTCTCGTTTTGGAAACGTACGTGCAGAATGGTATCAACAATGGATTCTCGGTAATTGTGTTTCTGCTGAAAGCTGTCATTTCTAAAACGTATCAGCGCATAAAATCGATCTCAGAAGCTAGATGCTAATCAATTGCACAGAGTTTGATCTTTTCAATGTACTATCGTAATCCTAGAATTCTCTAGTAAACCTAAAAAGATGTTACCGTATTCTCTCTAATAGTAGTGCACCCGGCCGAGCCGAGTTGATCACTATTTTACGGTTTCTAAGTTTTCGCAGAAGCTCAACACTGAAATCCCCCACAAGACTCATCATCAGCTACATTTTCCGACCCCACATCGATAGGTTCTCATAAGCGCTTTTCGAGATTTCGAGCAATTTAGGCGAAGCTTTTGGTGCACTACTATTAGAGAGAAGACGGACGTTACTTTTAATTTACTGAAATAATTTTCTAAAGAACGATGGAGAGCTCGATGTATCGATGCTTTGGGAAAACGGCAAATGTAAAAGCTTTTTTTCAAAGCTTTTTGTTAGCTGAGCACCGTATTTTCTCTAATACTAGTGCACACCGGCGAGCCGAGTTGATCACTATTTTACGGTTTCCAAGTTTTCGCAGAAGCTTAACACTGAAATCCCCCACAAGATCTCATCGTCAGCTACATTTTCCGACCCCACATCGATAGGTTCTGATAAGCGGTTCTCGAGATTTCGAGCAATTTAGGCGACGGTGCACTACTATTAGAGAAAATACGGTATACAGAAAATTGAAAATTACGAGTTTCATCTGGCGAGATTCGTATCCAGAAACCTTAAAATAAAGATTTTCATCTCAATTTCCTATTTTCTTTAGTCTATTTTTGTGAAAACAATGAGTAAATGTTTATTTGAAAGAGATTACCGTAAATACTGTAATAGTACCCGACCCCCATAATGACGGTGCGGAGTGTTGCGTAGTCTAGCTTTGGACGCGTTTTTCTCGACACTGGTTTATGCTACAATGCGCGCTTAGGTATCAAAAAATAGCTGAAATTCAGGGCTATTTTTTAATACCAAAGACGCATTTTTTGAAAGTAGGGGCGCTTTGAAAAAAAATGAAACACTAAAAAACTTTTGCGACTACACGACTGTACGAGGGGGGTGGGGTACTATTACAGTTTCTACGGTATGGGAATTCGCATCTGAAATCAGGGAGCGAACGAGTGATCCTGTGAGCGGAAGTCTAATGTGTTATCCACTAGGCCAACAAGGCGCCTTTTCTCCGCTAGGAAAGAGCCACTAGGCCATCAAGCATCCTTTTTTTAACGCCAGTTTTTCCATTAAAGTTTTACACGCTTGGAAAGTCATTTGACAGATTTTGCTTTCAGATTCGGATTCTATAAAGTGCAGAGTCCAGACAAAAGCTTGATTTCGTGCCTTTCCGTTGTGAGCACTTTGCTCTTAAAACTCTTAAAATGTAAAACAACATTACTATTACAGTATTTACGGTAGGTATTGAATTGAATTATTATTCAATTCAAGAATTCAATAAATTTCATTAAATTTCATTAAATTTCTCATTTTTAATTTGAAATCCTAAAATAAACGACTAAAATATCCAAATAAAATATAAAATCTCTCAATTTTTCCTCAGAGTTTTATGATTTTTTTGGTGATTTTTTTTTGGTGATTTTTGTTTCACGAGTTCAAGATTTTCTTTGAGGATTTGTGATGATTTTTGGAAAAAGTACAAAGAATATTGCGAAAGAAAAAGTGCTCATCAAGTTAATTTAGAAAAAAAAGTATGGAGTTTTCGTGAAAATTGGAAAAATTGGAGAAATTTTTCTCACTAAGAGCCTTTTTGGCACAGTGAGTTTTTAATGAAAAACAACATGGCCAAATCCGTTTTTTTTTTTCATTTTTTTTCAAACACTCATCACTTA